CGCGAGGACGCGCGCAGAGTGACAGGAGTTGACAGGAGTAAATGACAGGAGTTGCTAGTAGGTGGGTTCGAAACCCGAGCCCGCCAAAGTTTTCAGGCAATGTCTTCCCCTCTATCTCTCAATGTAACACCCTCTCAGGAATAAAGGCACTCTGGCCCAAAAAAAAAAATGTTAAATTAATTTTTTTTTTTTATTAAACTTTAATTTTATTTTTTTTAACATTATACCCAAAGGGCCAGTAAATATCACCCGGGGGCCGGATTTGGCCCGCGGGCCGCCAATTGAATAGCCCTGAGGTAGAGTAAACAAATAACTTGTGGCAGTAGTCGGTGTGTCAGGGAATGCTAAAACGTGTACATACATCTCGAATCCTAAAAGACCTAAAGACTAAGATTCCGCATACAGGACCCCACATGACCATCAACAAACATTTTTTGTCTATCATGCTCATGATTATATAACAGACCAAAATACAAATCTATAAAATATATACCAGCCAATGTATCACTACAACTATGAAATTACAATTCATTTAAATTAGACTGGTTGCTCAATATCTATATTTATGCACCATTGGAAAAAGAGTGAGAGGTTTGAACGAATATTCTAATGCTTGATGTTCATAAATGAAGAGTGGATTGTGCGCATCAGTGGATTGAATCTGTCTTTTGCCAAGTTGGTATCCAAGATTACGCCTACATATTTGACCTATTTAATTTGTGTTGATTATTTGTCCCTTTTTACACTTCGCGTTAGATGCATGGATTTGTTTTTGTTTGTTAGTCAAATAAATTGTCACTTTTTTTGTATTTAAAGTGAGAAAGTCGCTTAGCCATTGAGCAACTTTGTGCAGTGTTACTGAGAGCTTAGTAGAAACCTGTTCAGCATTTTCACATGAGTCTGATGACCGTGTCATGGTACATCTGCATCTCCACATCCTCACAGACTTGTGGTGACTATTAATATGTATGCTGAACAACAGTGGTCACAAAATGTATCATTTATACGAACACTTTGAGAACGACCAGATAAATAGGACCTTACCCATTTTAGTGTGCTAACAGACAGTTTGAATTTGGACAGCTTTTTTTTTTTTTCATCAAGAGTTTTTGATGACTTGCTGTGTAAAAAGATTTATGGAGATCAAGAAAAACGGATCCTCCTCTTCTTCTTCTCAAGAAACAGTACCACTCAAACTGTGGCTCAATTCATAGCACAGCCATGTGTGAACAAAGTTTGACGTGTGTGTGTGTGTGTGTGTGTGTGTGTGTGTGTGTGTGTGTGTGTGTGTGTGTGTGTGTGTGTGTGTGTGTGTGTGTGTGTGTGTGTGTGTGTGTGTGTGTGTGTGTGTGTGTGTGTGTGTGTGTGTGTGTGTGTAGGCAGTGGACAGCAATCTGTAACTGGAGTTGAGATTGCGGATGATGCCAACAGTTATTGGCAGATTCGTGGAAAGCCCAACCGTCCCTGTCAGCGGGGGGAGGCCATCAAGTGTGGTCAGGGCATCCGCATCACACACATGAAGACTGGGCGAAACCTCCACACACACCACTTCAGCTCACCCCTGTCTAATAACCAGGTCAGACTCACTTTTTACATGTCTTTCACGTTTCAAAAGACATGGACATTTATAGAGCCCTGTGTCAAAGAAGAAGATCTCTAAGATTATGGATACACGTATTATTGAGTACTTTGTGGGCTAGTTGTACTGTTCTTGTCTTTCCTTCCCACTGTGTGGCTTGCAGGAGGTCAGCGCTTTTGGAGAGAACGGCGAGGGAGACAATCTGGACGTGTGGGCGGTCCAGTGTGATGGAATCCACTGGGAGCGCGAGGAGGATGTGCGCTTCAAACACGTGGGCACAGACGTCTTCCTGAGTGTGACCGGGGAGCAGTACGGCCACCCCATCCGCGGCCAGAGGGAGGTGCACGGCATGAGTTCTGCTAACCAGAACAACTGGTGGCGCTCCATGGAGGGCGTCTTCCTGCAGCCCAGCCAGATGCCGCTGCGCCACGACGAGCTGTGAGCCACCGGCATGACGACGAACATAGGAGCTTCAGAAAAGTGGAAGGTTAATAGCTTTCCTGGACCAAACCACGTCATGTTTGAATAATGTCGAATTTTAGACTGATGACTCATCTCTGTTCATGTAAAGCACTCTGGGTGGTCAGAGGCCATAGAATTAAAATTTCACAACAGTTTAAAGAAGATCGATATAATGTATGTAGTGGAGCCATATGGACTATATCAGTTTCTTCCCAAGTACATTTCTTAAGGGAGAAAACACAAAAAGGCTGAATTACCAGCTAGGCACAGTAACCACTAACTGAAAGACCCACAATCACTGTTTACTGTACACATCTGAAAAACGATATCAATTGAAATGTTGAAAGGGCCCTGTGCCAAATAAAACCTTCGTTTTAGTGCAAATGTTGCCTGTGTCATCTAAAAAATGTTTTATCAATCATTGGCTGGTGTTCCTCTTGGTTCTGGAACACCTTTTGATGTTAAGCTCATGTTCATTTTTAATTTGTGACCTTGTAAACATTTTTAAATAGTGGGGATGTTTTCAGAAATAATGAGTTGAATGTCTTTATCAGTAGTTGGTGGGAAAACAGCCCACTTTCACTTCCGAGTCATGCGGCAGACAATCTACCTCTGTTAGAGTTCTATAATTCACTGCACCCCCTTTTGCGTGTTTGTGTGACAGGTGAGTGGCTTGGCAGTGTGACCACATCAGAGTTGCCACACTGCCATCTTCTCTTCACCTTCATTTATTCATGCGGGGGATTCTATGTTAAGAATCAAACGTTTGCACACTGTATGTATGAAAAATAAAGGTCTACTTAAAAAATGAAGTTATTTCCGTAAGATACTTTTTTTTAAACAAAGTCAATTGTGCAGTTGGACTTTTTAGTCCCTTAAACAATCTTATAAACACAAATCCTAACATCCCCATAACACAGCATGATAACGTTCATTAGAGTTTGGTAAATGGTAACTTGTTTCAAGCATTGCGCCCACAGTTTGAAATGCATGCTCTCTGCAAATGGATCAAAATGTCAAAGCTTCCGCAGACAACAGGAGGCAGTATGCTCTTTTCACAGGCATAGCAGTATTCAATGTAACAAGTTCAATTACCTTTGTTTTTAAAACCCTTTAATTGAAAGAAATGGCACATATTTTGGGCTTGGGTTTGTCTGCGATTTACAGGGTGCATTTTCCTAAACAATTCATCTGTATTCCAGCAAGAGAGAAATTTGTTTTAGTAATCTTATATCTAATGTCCAATTCTGAAATAAAGGCTAACAAGTGTTCATTGATTTTTATTTTCTCAGGTCATACCAAAACAATTGTCAATCAATGGATATAAACATGTCAAATATGTTCTGGTGCGATTGAACTTGAGCACAGTGAAGGCTTGGGCCCAGCAGCTGCTTCACCACTGTGTTTCAATGTAGATGCTAAATAATATCTGTTGTATCTGAATAGAATGAATTCCCAGATGTGAGTTTTTCCTGAGCAAAGAGGAGCTGTTATGTGTTTTTTATCCTGATGTAAGTTACTTTTCACTCAGGGGACCTTTCAGAGACAAGTTCATCCCGAAACAGCTTCCTGTGGCATATACTACAAAGCAGGATTTGGGGTTGGCTGGGTAATTTCAGGGTTAACTGCTTCAATTCTTACCTGTGTAGATCGCCATGGTAAGTTATGTTGAACTCCTAACATAGGCAAGACACTTCCCCCAGAACTAAACTGCATTCTCAATTACGTTTAGGTAGAAACGTATTTTCTCCCACGTTACGTTCGTTATGACGTATCTCAAATACGTTTATTTTCTACATATCTTCTAGAATCATATTTTCTCCCACGTTACGTTTCTTATGAATGTATCTTAAATACGTTTATTTTCTACATATCTTTGCCATTTATTGTCTTGCTTATAGTAATGATAATAGTCATTTATAAATATCATTTTAGAGCACACATTTGAAATCAGTAGGCGAGGCTGTAATTTCGCCAGCTGTTACTCTCATGAGCGAGGCAGAAAATAATAGTTTTAACATGCCAAAAAGCTGCTGTCGTTTATTGCACCTCAAACATTAAAACAAATCCAGAGTTACGTGTTTCTGTACTTCCTCTAAGAAGAAAGGACAGTAACGGTACGCCCACACCAGCGCCATATAGACTGATCTATATATACGGTGTATATATATATATATATATGTGTATATATGTATATATATATATATATATATATATGACTGTTCTATCTATATGGCGCTGGCCCACACAGCAGCACCAATCACATGAATCTCCCGCCCCCGACATACAAAGCAAAAAATCCCGGGGATTTTATGCGAACAATATATAGGCTATATATATATATATATATAAACTCCCCAAACCGGCGAAAATCTACCA